CAGCCCCGGGGGCTCCTAGCACCACGCCCCGCCTGACCTGACTGTGGCTGGCAGGACTTCCGCCCACAGCGCTGCCCACGTGGTCCGGAAGGGCCTTGACCACACCTCGGCAAACCCAGTCCGAGATGCCAACTCGCTGATTCAGGGAGTGGCTTCTCCCCCTTCCTCCGGGCGGCCCCTCGGCAAGACAGGCAGACGAGTGAGGTGGGGAGCTCGGCTCTGCGAGGCCCGGATTCTGCCCCATCGCTGGCCAGGGGCCCACCCCACTGTGGGCCGCGGTCTCCTCCAGGTCACAGGGGTGAGGGACACAGGGAGACGAAGCCCACCGCGGGGACGTGGGGCCTCATTTTACGTTGGTCTCTTCCGCAGCCGAGATACCCCCTGCCCCACAGACACACTCCTGGGGCGACCCAGGCAGCGCACGCAGGGCTTCCTGGGCGCCCTCCGTCCCCTCCAAGCCGGCTGTCGACTTAAGAAATGCCCAAACCTGTGGAGAGTTTTTATGAGTTTATTTGCGCCAAAATGATGACATCTGCCGGGGAGCAAGGTCCCAAATGCTCCCGAGAATGACTTCCGCAGCTTTTATGCGTTTGGAATTAAAGGGGTGCAGGGGGTATGACACACACAGAGGCGGGAGGAAGCGGGGTGGCGATCAGATTACAGGACAGTTAAGATGCGTGCTCTCTTGGGGAGGAGGGTGACAGCGTATTTCAAACGTGCTGACCCGGACGCACAGAAACAGCAGACAGGGCTGGTGTGAGGCACAGACGAGCCTGTCACTGAAGTTACTCGCCTAGGGCGTGACCTCCCACTGTGACCTGCGGGGGTGGGGGGGCTGGTTAGAGATTTATGATCAGGTCACTCTGGGAGCTTACTGTCCATGGAACCCCTTTTCCTATCCTCACCGGCCAGGGACTGTGCTGCCTGACCCAGGGTCCGACCAGGCCTTTGGCCTCCACTGGCGGGGAGGCAGCAAGCTGGGCTTCCTGTCCCCAGCCTTGCTGCCTCCCCTGCCCGGTTCACTCCCACAGTCCTAACTTCTGTGTCCAGCCCCCTGAGACCTCTGTGCAGCTTTCTGCTCCGGTCCCAGAGCCCGCATGGGTCCTGGCCCACAGCAGGCGCCCCAAAGTCTTTGACGAATGAATGAATGAATGAAGAAATGAAGGATTCCTTCCTTTCAAGTCCAGAAGAGGTGCATGTGTGCTGCCTGTAGCCTGCCAGCTCACGGGGTATATCGGGACAATCGGAGGTCCCCGGGAAGCCAGCGGCAGGACGTCAGCGCACCTGCGTGCGGCAGGGCAGAGAGGTGCTGGGTGCAGGCAGCCCGCACGGAGGCCTCGGGGCCCTCCGTCGGCCCCCCTCCCTTTTCCCTGAGGAGACCCCGTCTCAGGGGGTCGGGTGTCTGAGCTCTGGCCTCTGCCCTGCTGTCCAGGCATGCTCTCACTCACTCAGACGAGAGGGTGGGGTGCGGGACCAATGGCACCAGGTTGAGCAGCAGCCCCCGAGGGTGGGAAAGCGTGAGCTGCGCCCCCATTCACAAACCCAGTTAAACTCCAAGTGGATTCATGAATAATACCAGGGAACGCCCCCCACCCTCGCGGAGCGCGGACCGGAGAGGAGGCCCAGCAGGCGGAGACCAGGGACAGCCCCCGGCTGAGGAGGAAGCAGAGATGCTGCCCGGGACCAGCGGGCAGGCCGTGCACCGCACGAGTCCAGAGAGCTCACAGCACCGACTGCCGCTGGAGCCGCCCTCCCAGAGTGCTCACCCCGGCCTTCGCCCCGTCCCATGCCCCTCGCCACCCACAGGCCTGGACGGATAAGTGAAGGCGAGTGGATGAGAAGTCACAGGCAGGTCCCGGAGCTCAGCCTACCCTGCCCTGCCTCTGCCTGCTGTCAGCCGGTGCCACCGCCAACACTGACCTGAGTCAGAGCTTCGGGCAGGCGTGGCCGTCTGGTGACTCATCCAGACAGGCACTGACCTGATGATCTTGGAACCAGAGCTGCGGCCCCACCCAGAGAGGGGTGCCCAGTCTAGCAAATGCAAACACAGGGCACGGAGTGTGAACCGGCAGGTAACAGGGAGTGTACTGTTTCAGCATAAGTGCATCCCACGTAAGATGTGGGACGTACTTGTACCGGGAAACGTTTTTCGTTGTTTATCTGACATTCAAGTCTGTTGCGGTTCATCTGGCGCTCCCTCCCCAGCTGGGGCCCAAACCCCTGTGCGGGCCCCTAGATTCTCTGCATCTCTGCCCAACGTGGGGACCCGCCTGGCCTTCGCCAACAGCTGGGCAGTACTGCCCTCTAGTGCACAGACCCCAGGAGGGTGCAAGCCGCCCCTGCTGCAGGGTGGGGGGGTGGGGGGAGCATATCCGGTCCTGGGGGAGGAGGGCGAGAACCCACCTGGCAGTTACCCAGAGTCCCCCACACGCCCTGGGCCAGCTCCCCGAGCTCCCCAGCCCAGTCTGTCCACCTGCTCGGCTCGGGGCCAGGGCACAGACGGTCTCCTGTGTCCCCTCAGTGCACATGGAGCAGGGCACAGCCCACGGGGCCCGGAGGCTGCCTCTAGCTGAGCGGCCAAGCCCCCCAACCAGCCACAGGGCATGAGGCGGGGTCTGCTCCTGGCAGCCAGCGCCTGGCGGGGAGACCGCGGCCCCCCTCCTCCCTCTTCGTCTCCTTTTCCGGCCCCCTTTCCTCCGCTCTGCATGCCGCGTCTTTCCTGGCTCCATCCATCAGCTCTGGTCCTCCGCGCGGGGCCCGGCGCCTCTCCCGCGGGCTCCTTCCTCCACAAAAACACACCGAAAGTTAGATTCTGTGACTGTGTGGGTATGAACATGAATGTACTTTCAACCTGAAGAGTTCACTTCTTACCTCCCGATGTGAGGAGAAACGAGACCACTTCTGTGGGCCCTTGGAAAGGGCTGTGGGCCTCCTGGGCCCTGCACAGGTGTCACGCTGCAGTCACGCTCCAGGTGCGGACTGCGTGAGCGGGCAGGTGAGGTCTGACCGGCCACTGATCCCTCCCAGCGGCCACCAATCCCTCCTGGAGCTGCAAGGCCAGTCAAGTGAACAGGGGTGGGCGCTGGAAATCGAACACCTGTGCTCCCCCGTGCCAGACGGTCGACCTGCGTCTTGGGGAGCGAGCCACCCCTGAGTCACTCATGGCAGTAACAGGCAGGATTGGACCCATGAGTCTCACGCCAGGGTCCTGCCTCTAACCACGGTTAACGCCGCCCACCCATGTCACCTGTCAGTGCCTGTGACTGCCACCGGTCACAAGCCACCACTGGTCACAGCCACCATCCTGATGTACAGGCGGCCGGGCCCTGCCAATGTTGACTCAGACCACGGGTCAGTCTCCCCCACCTCCGCCCCATCTCCCCTGCCTCCACCCCCATCCTGACCCTTGCTGGTCCTGCAGGAGCCTCTCTGGGGACGAAGAGGTCACAAGGTCTTGGTAGAGGCCAAGGTCTAGCCAGCCTCAGGGAGGCGGAGGGACCAGGGACTCAGCAGCCACAACAGCCGCAGAGTCAGCCCGCTGCTCAAGTCGTCCCTGTGCCTGGGCCCTGCATGACGAGCATTTGCACAGTCACACACTCGTCAGCAGCTCTGGCCTGGGCCCTGCTGTGTGCGAATGTGCGTGAGTGTGCGAGCTGGCTGCACATAGGCGAGTGTGCGTGTTCACGTGTCCTGTGCACATGTCTCTACATGCATGTTCACGTGTCCTGTGCACGTCTCCACGTGTGTGCACATGTCCCGTGCACGCCTCCACATGTCCATGTGCACATGTGTCCGTGTGCACGTGTCTCCATGTGTGCACGTGTGTGCGTGTGTCCTGTGCGCATGCATCCACGTGTGGATTGCGTGTTTGCACATGTGCCCCGTGCTGCGGTGAGGGCTGCCGCAGTGATCACGCACACAGGCAGGCTCGCTCGCCACGGCCATGGGCAGCTCAGGGCCCCGTGGAGAGCCCCGCGCTGCTGGCGGGGGTGGAGGAGGGTCCTGGTCCACGGGGGAAGCCAGCATCAGGGGCCCGAGTGACATCAGATCACGAGGGCCTCTGTGAGAGGGTCACTCGAGCCGGGCCCCACCCAGAAGGAGCTGCTGAGGGAGGTGGTGGGTGCGATTCCTGGCAGAGGGCACGACGTTGGCAAAGGCCTGAGGCAGGAAAGAGCACGCGCACGCTGGACGCTGGAGCGGGAATGGGGGTGGGGGTGACGGTGAGGCCACCGAGGACGGTCAGGCCACGCCACGGGCACAGAGGGAAGCGAGTGGGAGGCTAAACCCCCAGGACTGCCACCCCCCGAGTTGTATTGCAAGGACCTAACCCCAACCCGCTCCCCAGGACGGCTGGTCTCTTCCTCAGCACCCCAGGGTGGGCTGTGTGGAGTGCGTCATCATGGCAAGCAGCCCACTGGGAGCCTGACCGAGAAGTGGCCCCTGCAGGAACCTGTCCCAAGTTAACGAGTCAAGACGGGGCACAGACTTAGGGAGCGAGAGGCCGCCACAGCCCACACGCTGCTGAGGCTGGCCGCAGCTGGGCCCACCGGCAGCCCTGCGATGGAGCGGGGGCACTTCCTCCAGAGCCCGGACCCCCCAGGAAGCCGGGGGCGGGAGCGGGGGCGGAACGAGACTCCGATGCCCAGCGGAAGCCCATTCGTGCTGTGGCGTTTAGACCATCTTTTTCATGCTGTGACCCCATTACATAACCTACGCGCAGCCGCGTGTCTGCATCCTGTGGGCTGGGTGCGACTGTGCGTGTCCCCGTGTCACAAAAATGCTAAAACCCGGGAGGCTACGACCTAGATGCTCTGGTGCTCACGGGGTCAGACGTTGGGGTCACAGCCGACTTCTGTTTATTCTCATTCGCCTGTTATCTTTTCTGAGGCAAAATTCACGTAACAACAAATTAACCATTTTAAATTGTACAACTCAGTGGCGCTTCGTACGTTCTCGGCGCTGTGCAAGCGGCTCCTCCGCCTCGTTCCTCGACACTTTCGTCACCCCAAAGGGAACCCCACGCCCTGTAAACAGCTACCCCTCCCCCAGCCGCAACCACTAGCCAGCGTCTCTGTCTACAACGGCACCGAGGCCTCTGTCAGGAGGGCCCGAGTCACCAGGGCGGGCTGTGCTCAGGGAGGCCGTCCGCGGTCCCGGGCCTGCCCTCAGCCCCGCTTCCTCTCCCAGGTCCTCTCCCGTCCCCTCCTCCCCATACCCCGACCCTCGGCTGCACTTCGGCCCCCGGAGCCGTCGGAGTCCACAGGGGAGGAATGGTGACGCGCACGTGACAGTTATTCCCAGCTGGACCCCTCACGGCCACTCGGCTCTGATACCATGGGCGGGCACCCCATGCTCCACATGGCCCTGGACACCTGTCTGAAGGGAACTGTGTGACCTCTGACCCCAGTCTAAAGGTCGCCGGGGCCTGGGGCAGCGGGATGGGCTGTCCGGAAGGGTCACCTACTTAAGTCTCCATTTCTCCATTTTTCCTGTGACAAAGTTGTGCCCAAGACTGAGGGTCACCAGAACCCTGGAGTTCTATTCGGACAGTATCCAGGGAAAGACTACATTTCCCAGGCTTCTTTGCAGCAAGCACGGTCACATGACTAAGCTCTGGCCAGTGGGGTGTGAGCAGGAGAGGGCTGCATTCCCAGGTCCTGTCTTTAAAAGGAAAGTCACGCTCTCCCGTCTTCGCTCCTGGGCCTCGCTGGAGTGTGGGGCCACGGCCGGAGCAGGCCAGCTCTTTTGGACGGCCAGCGGGTGAGTGTCTCAAGAGGCCAGTGGGACAAGGCAGAAGGGGTGCTAGGCCCTGGCGACGTGGGGCCTCCCTCAGCCCCGAGTGCCACGGCGAGGATACGCGCACTCTCCCCTGACTAAGCCACTTGTATTTCGCGGCCCCTCGATGAGACCCGTTATATTTTCATTGTCCCTGGGCTGTTTCCAAGGACGCAGCTGTGCGGTGGTTTGGATGGTGTCGCCCGGGGTTCACATCCACCCGGAACCCAGAAGTGGGGCGGGGAGCCCCGGCTTTGGGAACGTCGACCCCACCAGACTTCGACAGCCTCTCGGGGCTGTGAGCCGTGCCCCGCCGCCTCCTCCATGCGCCTGCCCCAAGCCAAGCGGCTGACTGCCACAGCCTCGCGTCCCGATACTCAGCGGGCTCATGTGTTCGACCTCATCTGCAGTCTGACAACGGTGCCTCCCTCATCGTAAAGGCCATGGGACAGACGGCTCTCCCTCGCTTCCCGCCGCCCACAGACCCAGGGCTGCTGAGCGTTGGAGCGGCCTTCCACAGCGGTCACTTAAGATTCCAGACCCCACCTCGGTCCCCTCCCGCCCGGCACACCTTAGTCAGGCAGCTCAGTCACCGAACGTGGCCGCCCCAGAGAGGAGCCCCTCTGGGGGGTGGGGTGGAGCCTCTTAGATGGGTGGGGCTATTCAGGTCCAGTTTGGACAGTCGAGATTCTACCCTGACCCTCCTGGGCAGAGGCTTCTTTCCTTTGGCCAGCCTAGGTGGTCCAAGGGGGCCTAGGGGATGCAAACTTAATCCTGGGCCACCACCTAGACTTTTCTGTGGGACAACATGGCCCTGGATCCACGGATAACGACCACTTGGTTGAGGACACAGAGTGAGTACCCGAGGGCGGACCACGGTATGGATGTCATGGGTCTCTGCGAGTTTTATAAAAATGCTGTGTCCCTTTCGCGCCTGACTGTGTCATTCAGGGTGCCATCGGCGGACAGAAGCAACATGGCAATTCGAACGAGGGAAGTTTAGTACGAGAAACGCTGTCCATCCAGAGGACAGGGGCAAAGAGCAGGTGTGGCTGAGTCCCGTCCACAGGCAGAGGCCTTGCCAGGGGGCACAGCCCCGGATCCCCAAGGGCAGAGAAGTCACTGTGCTGCCTGCAGAACTGCTGGAAATCTGCCCCTGGGACCTCCCGGGAACCCAGCCACCAGGGGACAGGGGAAGCTATGACCTGGGTGGTGCCACAGACGCCTTTGTGGAGGCATCTCGATGAAGCCACCTCCGGGGTCGCCTTCAACAAGTGAGCTGCACCGGTTGGATATCCTTATGCAAACCAACCAACCAACCACCAAACAGGGTTCTCTGCAGGCATATTTGATGCTAAGGCCCAACAAAGCAGCAGCTGCAGTTGCCACAGTTCTGGCTGCAGCTTCACGATGTTTCCCTTGGCCAAAAATGCCCTAAGTCGACTCCGAGTTCAAAGCATTCAGCAAACGATAGCAAGGCAGATCCACCAGAAACAGACACCTGATCGCCATGACAAATATGGCAATGCTGTATTAGCTAGTGGAGCCACTTTCTGTGTTGCTACATGGGCACATACAGCAACACGAATGGGAACAGAATGGAACCTGTCCCATTGGGAGAGTCACCCCAAAGGAATGGAGAGATCAGTAATCATCCCAGCTGGTGTCATATTGAATTGTTTCAAAACCAACACATAATTGATGCCAAGTGAAAGTACAGTGTACCCATTAAAATACGGCGTAATTAAAGAAATAAAGTATATTTGAACCTTCGGAAAAAAACCCAAAACATTCCCTTCACTCAGACCTTGCACCATGTACAAAAATTAGCTCAAGCTGAAACGCTGACCTACACGTAAAACCTAATACTATAAAACTTCTAGAGGACCTTTATGACCGTGGGTTAGCCAAAGACACACACAAAATGCACAAAATGCACAAACCGTGAAGGAAAAACGTGAACAGAACAGACCTCATCCACCCTGAGAACTAGTGCTCCATCCATGAGGCTGTCAGAAAAGTCAGAAGGGAAGCCGCAGCCTGGCAGAACGTCTTTGCAAATCACGTGTTTGCTAACGTGCTGGTACCCAGAAGATACAGAGGAGTCTGGGCACTCGGCACACCAAAGACGGGGCGCCGATGCCGAAAACACACGGGTCGCCATGAAGCACATGAACTGTGGTTAGGGAAATGCAATGACAGCCACAGAGACATCGCGCGCACCCCCTGGGGGCCGGGGGGATGCAGGGCCGGCCGTACCGCGCGCTGCCAGGATGCCGGAGGCGGGACGCTGCACCCCGCGCTGCCAGGATGCGGGGGGCTGGACGCCGCACCCCGCGGTGGGAGCCGATGCCCCGCAGCGCGTGGAACGCGTTTCGGGGCGTCTGGGAAGTTACACAACCCGGGCTCACAGCCCAGCGAGCCCCCCCGCGGCCCCCGTTCCCCGCGCGAAGGGAAAACACCCCCGCACACACGCCCGAGCGCCACACGCCGCGGCCGCAGTCAACGCGAACGTCCCCGGCGGGCGCAGGACTGGAGTGGGGCCGCCTTTCCAGTGGCCTTGGGCCGGACCCCAAGGCCATCCCTGCTTCACCCCCCTCACGTGACGCGGAGGAGCCTGGCCGGGCTCGCGGGGCCGCTCGAAGAAAGAGGGGGGCGGGCCGGGCGGTTCCGCATCCTGAAGGCGGCGGAGCCTGCGCGGGGGGCTCCGTCAACCCTGGCAGAGCTGCACGCTAAAAACGGTGCCCGTTTCACCATATTCCTTTAAAAAGTGGAAGAAAACAGGCAGACGAGGCCACAGCGTCCCCCGCGGCTCTGGCCCGGATGGCTGACGCGGACCGTCCTTCGGGCCCTCGCCCCG